GATGACGCGCTAATGACCGTGATGACGCGTGTGGGGCAGTTGGATAGAACTGCCTACTAATTTTGTCAAAAATTTAATTAATTCATAAAAAGGTTAATAATTATGCATCCAATTAAGTCAAATTTTATGTCATGATGCATTGTCTTCATGTCTTGACCCACGCACCAACTAGAAACCGTATCTGTCAGTTAGAAGTGTCCGAAATTTCGCTCGGGCGTTTCGATCTAGACGGACGACAGATGACAGATAGAGGAAGGGAGTTAAATAAAAGCTTGTAACATATTTTGCTTTAAAAAATTTATAAAAAACGTTTTAATAACAAGCTTTTATGTAATAATGCACTAAAAAGTAGAAAATAAATTATAGACTACTATTTAAATAACTATAAAGAAAAGCGTGAGTCACTTTACTATCTATTGGATTCCTTTACTAATGTTAAGGAAGACACCCACGCTTTTCTTTATAGTTATTTAAATCGTAGTCTATAATTTAATTTCTACATAAAATCGCAGCTATTGAACGTGAAGACGCGTGTGGTGTGGTTGGATAGACATGCCTACTAATTCGGTCCAAATTTTAATTAATTCATAAAAAATTAATTAGGCAACCAATTAAGTCAAATTTAATTTCAGATTGCATTGTCTTCATGTCTTGACCCACGTGCCAACTGTGAATCGTATCGGTCAAGTAAAAGTGTCCAAATTTTCACTCCGGCGTTTTGATCTAGACTGACGACTGACGACAGACAGGGGAAGGGAGTTAAATAAATCTTGTAAAAATTAAACACAGCCAACACGGTAGACAGGCTAGATCTCCACGTCCAAAGAAAACAATTGACATAAATCTGGGGACAACAGCCGTACTGAGGCGGAGCGAAAAACTTGCCTGTTGGTTTATACTAGCTGTTCTTATGTAGGCTAGTCTATCACACAGAAACTATACGAAGACTCCATCAGTCAGGTAATACATAAGGGAAAACTAACAAAACCATTCACGGTGACGACGGGAGTAAGACAGGGATGTATGTTATCGCCAATGATATTCTTGATGGTAATCGACTGGATCATGCTGAAAACTACACAAAACGACAAAGGATTCCAGTGGAGTTTCACCAAAAGGCTGGAAGATCTTGATTTTGCCGATGACATCTGCCTACTATCTCACAAGCATCAACATACACAAGCCAAACTAAATCGGCTATCTGAAGTAGCCTCCAAAGTTGGACTAAAAATCAATACAAATAAAACAGAGGTCATCAGAATCAATAACAGCCAGGACCTGCCCATACAGCTAAATGGAGAAGATTTGCGAGAAACAAACACATTCACATATCTGGGAAGCGTGATCAATAAGGACGGGGATCAGACGAGGACATAAAATGCCGAATCAACAAGGCTAGATGTGCCTTCAACTCGCTGCGCCCGACGCTGAGGTCCACGGCCCTGTCACTCCGGAGCAAAATGGGGATTTTCAACTCAAATGTCAAAGCAGTGCTGCTCTATGGCTCGGAGACTTGGAGGGTTACGAAGACAATTAATACTGATAGGCTAAGGCATTCGTAAACAAATGACATATAATTAAAATAAGATGGCCAGACAAAATATCAAACAAAGACCTGTGGAAATTTCTAAAGCAACAGCCAATAGAGAAAGACATCAAGGCCCGTACATTGGGATTGATTGGACACACATTAAGAAGAGAAAAAGAAAACATCGCAAAACATGCTATGGACTGGAATCCCCAGGGAAAAAGGAGGGTGAGCCGGCCAAGGAAGACATGGAGAAGAACGGTTGAAGAAGAGGCGAAAACAGCTGGGCTCACATGGGCACAGATTAAGGGAGCAGCCCAAAACCGAGTCCGCTGGAAATGTGTGGTTGCAGCCCTTTGCTCCCCAGCGTCTAGAAAGGAATGATGATGATGATGAACAAAATAAAATAAAAAATCGAATGTCGAAAATGATACACAATACTAATGACGTCATCGTCAATAAGATTCGATTCCAATTTTAAACTATGAAGAAATGAATTATTTCATTCAAATTTGATTTAAATCAATAGATCTACTTATCGAGACGTACGGTGTGAAATTTATACTATTTTCTAGGGAAAAATAATAAAAACAAAAATTGGTTTAAAAAAAATACCATTGAATAGACGTTTTTTTAACGGAATCATTTAAGACACCTAATTAGTGCGTTCATTTAATGTGGTATTGTGTAGACTATTAATGTATATAATTTGGTTTTAATTTTTCTAATAGGTATTTATGTTCTATTAAATGTGTCGTATTTTTAGCTATTTAGTTATTTCTATGTTTTGTCTCTAATATTGTTTAACATGTAGTAAAGTAAATTGCGTTTTGAGCAATAACTATTTCTTAAACTAGTATAATATTTTAAAATATGAGACTATAATTCACGTATAACGGGTACCGATGGCTTGTTGTGGATACATACATTAACCTCTTTCGTCTCGTACTGGAAGATCTGTCAAAGGTTTTCTAACGAAAATTGTTAATATTGTTGGAACTTAAATCAAAATTATAAAAGGAATAATAAAACAATATATAATTTAAAATATTTAAAACATTATAATTTATCAACTTAAAAAGAGTTTCTAACACGCTGTGCCAGGTCGCCAGACACACTTAATGAAAATATTTCGTTATTTTACTTAGTCCACGTATGAAAGTAAAATTACTCCAATTTTTATTTTAAATTAAACTATGATCTATTTTAACCAATTCTATTGCTAAAGAACAAAGTTTGTAGATAGTGTATAAGGTCTGAAAATTTATTCAGTGTGTTTTTATCCTTGTTATTCTTTTCAATTAATTTTTTATTTGGCTAAAGCAGACCAAAAAAATTCCTTAAATCAGGTTTATCGGTTAATAAATTGTTCATGCTATTGAATTAGAATATTTGTTAAACAGATCATATCTAAAATTGATACTATTATTAGAACTTAATAGGAATAAGTCAATGTATCCAAATAGCTAAAATAAAAATAATAATGCATATATGCAATTGACGGCCATTTTTGTTTTGAAGCGAAGCATTTCCGTGAATAATGCAAAGTTTAGACATGGATGTTGGTTTGTAAAATTAAATTCGTGTTTGTTAATAAGAATATTTATCTAAATTTTATTAAAATATGTCAATCTTGTTGGTTCAAAGACAACTGTTTTGTTTTAAATGTAACTATATGGAACATTGTACTACGTTTTTACATTTTTCCGCAATTTTTAACGACCAAATAAACACATTAAACCGTAAAAAGAAAATTGATTTCATTACTTTATTAGTTTAAGTACCCATAAAATAAAAACGAATTGCACAAAAACCGTTTTAATAAAAAGATTTTATGTAACAATGCACTAAAAGGAAAAAAATTGATTTTCTTTAAATATACAATAAGACACTACTATTAAAATAACTGAGCAGAAAAGCGTTTGTCAGTATATTATCTATTGGATACCTTTACTAATATTTAGGAAGAGACCCACGATTTTCTTTATAGCCATTTAAAGAGTAGTATTATTATATATTTAAAGAAAAAAAACATTTGTTTTTACCTTTTAGGGCATTATTACATACAAGCTTGTTGTTATAATATATTTTTATGTATTTTTTTTAGTTCCTTAAACTTTTTCATACAATAGAGTTGCACGGATAAGAACTATTGCGCACCTAATAAACATGATAATGCGCGTATAATAGTGCGGGATAATAGTAGTAGGACACCCTACTAAATTCAGAAAACATTAATTAATTAATTAAAAAAAAATTAGTCATCCACTTTTGTCAAATTACATGTCTGATCACATTGTCTTTAAGTCTTGAACTACGTCTCAAATTTGAAACGAGTCGGTTAGTTAGAGATTCTCAAAATTTTGCTAGTCCGTTTCGATCTTTGACGACAGACAAAAGCAGATTTTGGAAGCAAGTTAACAAAAACTTGTGAATATGTATATATATATATATATATATATATATATATATATATATATATATATATATATATATATATATATATATATATATATATATATATATATATATATATATATATATATATATATATATATATATATATATATATATATATATATATATATATATATATATATATATATATATATATATATATATATATATATATATATATATATATATATATATATATATATATATATATATATATATATATATATATATATATATATATATATATATATATATTGTTTACCAATAGTTGGGGAATATTTTTTTAACATTGTAATTTCATTATATTAGTGATCAATACATAGATCCATAGTACATAGTACATATAAAAATTTTGATGTGTTTAGTTTTCATATATTTTGTGTATTGAATATTTGTAAATTTTTAAACTTTGTATCATGTGTGTTTTTTGGCACTATACAGGTGCACAAACGTTTACAGTGGAGCCAAAACGACGTTTGTCCAAATTAGAAAATGTCAGAAAAAAATATTATGAATTAAAACTGAAGTGCAGCCTAGATCTTTATTTAACATTTAAAAACTCTTAGCTGTTTTTGTGTTTAAAGAGAATGTTTAAATTAAAAACCCAAAAACATAAACCAAAGAACTATCTTTATATTACTTGCAAACGACTAAAAAAGTCAATTTTATTTATTTTATATATAATTCAATCACATTATTAAGTATAAACTTAAATACATTGTCTAAACAATTAAATGTAATCGACAATACTCAATTTTTTAAAGTCATCGCCTAATTAGTGCAAAATATTTTTAGGTTCACTTGTAATCAAGGTAATGCAAGGGCAATAAATTATTCGTTATTTGATTGTATTGTTGTTTTTTTTATAGTGTTTGTAACGTATATGGGCCTATGAATTTTCAATAAAAAATATTTTAACGCATACACAAGCGATTTATTATTTTAAAGGTATATTTGTAGGTCAAAGCATAAGAAATTAATAGTTGATTATTGAAAATTATGTTCTATAACTTACGTTTGATATATAGATTTCAAATTCGGACGTTATGAAACGTGAATCAAGATGAGATTCTCTTTCAAATCTTGATCTGCGAAAAAGGAACAACAACAAAATGAAAAAATATACATAATCAATTATAAACTACATAATACAAATAATGTGCACAATTACAAGAAACAATATATTTACTACTCTAGTTTGTATTCTTAAAATTGTGTAATCCTAGGTTCCACCAAGAAAAAAGTTTTTTTAACAAGCATGCATAAGTGTAAGAGTGGACGTTCTATGTCCAAGAAGCCCGGGGAAAAAAAGCTAAATTGAGAAAAATTGCCCCAGCCCTGAGTTACATTTTTATTGTAGCTTCTTTTTTCCATTCAGGCCTGAGTCAGATGCCTACAAAATCATTGGTTAATTTACAATTTGCAATGTAAAATAATAACCAAAACGATGGATCGCAATTTTAGTTTTATTTAGACCCAAAACCTCGTGAACATACTAATTGAAGTTATAAACTTATTTTTAAGAAATAACTTAAATAATTGCTATAGGATACGTTACTTTTTAAGCCTAGCGACATCTATATCTATAAAGGCAGTGGGATATGTTTGTTACTTTAACCCTGAATTTGTTAGGGTATATGCAGGCAAATATCAGAGGAATTGCTCTTGAAAAAAGTGGCCTATTAACATTCAATCCAGCGGAAAATTATATCTATCTCAGTAATAGTGTTTAAAATAACCGAAGCACATATTAAAATACAAAATTCTCATGTAATATATTAAGGGTTGATAATGGAACGGAATTGTGTCAAGAATTTAAACTTTAACAACCCTCATTCTTTAACAACATACAACTAAAATATTTGGAGAAAAGAGAAATTCCGTTAAAAATGATACCAAGTCGTTTTCAAATAGCTATGAAATGTAACCAATTACGACTAATAAATAATACATGCTTCATGGCGATATAAACAAATAAACCGTTAGCGATCTCCCCGAAACTTTCACGAATATTCTAATATAACACTACGGGGATGGCAACTCGGATGTAGACATGATTTTTAATACATTTTTAATCACTTAAACTTTTAAAAATAGAATAGAATCTCGAAGAAAAAATAATTGCGCACCAAGTAAACGCCAAAGAGTGTGTTATAATGAGGAATATTATTAGTACTTTAGAAATCTATATGCAAATTTTGAGAAATCGAAAAAAAAAGCGTAAATTACTACTTCAGGTCAGCAGAAATAACTCAAAAAGTTGACAGAAGGCAGATAATTAAATATTTTACTTAAATGTAAAATTGCATTTATTTATCTGAAACAGTACTCAAGCTATAGGTTTTTAGGAAATTAAAAGTAGAACAAGTTCTACTTTCGGTTACCGAAAATCGCTGAAAAGTTGATACAGAACTACAAATTTGATACAACTTTTTTATATATAAAATTTCATCAACCTAGCTGTAACGGTACTCAAGTTATCGTGTTCACAAACACACATACACACACATACACACACACATTCACACACATACACACACATACGGACAAGAGTGCAAAACTATGTTTTTCCGTCTCAGGGGGGTGTAAAAAGTCAAGATTTGCAAAAATCTCGATTTTTTTTCACGATTACAATACTTTTTCTATACTTCGTATACGAAAAAAACCCACCTATATCACCGTTAATTAAAGCGTTTATTAGTGCGCACTTGTGTACATTTTTAATTCACACTAGACTACCCGTTATCTAGTTAGATAACTGTGGGTTTCGGGGGTCATCCATAAATGACATCATGTCTGTCACTAATCATCACAAAATAACCAGACCCCACATTCAAAAATGCATCACACCTCAGACGTTTTTGTCTTTTAAAAACACTGATTTCGTCTGAGCATGGGTCTGACAACATAATCTTTTCATATGCTGAGGTCACAAAAAACAGGTCAACTCTACTTCACCTGCCCAGTGTCCTCCCAACTCAGACATGTTTTTGTCTGTGAAAACACAGATTTTGGCTGAGCGTGGGTCTGACCACACTATCTCTTCATATGTTGTCGTCACAGGTGAACTTTACACCTACCCAACACTACTTCACCTGCCCAGTGTTCCGCCAAGTCTGAGACAACATGTTTTATCTTTTAAAAAAATATTCCGGCCGAGCATGACTCTGACCACACTATCCACGTTATATACTGAGGACAAAGAAACAGGTGAACTCTACATCACCTGCCCTGTATCTCGCTAAGTTCCAATAGACAATAGGTCATTAAATAATTGTAGTGTTTTAGTTTAGATTTGAATATATTTTCAGATCTAGATAGCTTTATTTTATTAGGAAGATTGTTCCACAAATTAGAACCAGAGTAGGCAAAGCTATGTTTTTGGAAAAAAGTTGTATATGGGAATGGTAAATTAAGACGACGATTTAATTTTATGTTAAAAGAAAATATGTCTGATAAGTAAGAGGGGGCTGTTTCGTGGAATATTTTATATAAGAAAATTGATTTAGTATATATTATTTTTTTTAATGGAAGTATTTTAGTTGTAAGAAAGGAATCCAGAATACTAGACAAGACAGAAACCAGTTTTATAGCCCTTTTTTTTAAAGATAGAAGAGGACGCTGCTTAGTTATAAAGCTGCCGCTCCACACTACAGAAGCATAATCCAACCTAGATTGAATAAAAGCTTTATAAAAAACTAGCCTGCTCCTATAGTCGAGAAAGTTCTTTATCCTTGCTAATTGAAAAGTTGTCTTTAATAAGGACATTCTTAACAAATGAATATGATCGGACCAAGTGAGGTTGTGATCTATAACCAATCCTAAGCATTTGTAACTATCAACCTGTTCAATGTTTGTATTGTCTATAGTAATGCGTAATGCGGTGGATGGAAGACGAAGGCGTTTCTGATGAGTTGTAATAAACATTGACTTGGTTTTATCGGGGTGAAGTTTCATTTTGTTAAATTTTGTCCAAGTAGCAAGCTGATTGGCACACGTTTGAAGTTTGTAACTGAGTGACTCAGCACTGTCTGCAAAGACATGTAAAGAAGTATCATCAGCGAACATCTCGCACTGACCAGCGTCAATGTGTAATGGAAGATCATTAATGTATAAAGAAAAAAGTAAAGGACCTAAGATTGAGCACTGTGGAACCCCTATATTGACATATTTCTGTGAAGAGATGGTATTAAGGTGAAACACGCGTTGAGATCGGTTAGATAAAAAGGAGTGAAGTAACCTAACTGTAAAGTCGTGGAATTTGTATGGAATTAGTTTTTTTAAGAAGTATGGTGTGATCAATAGAATCAAAGGCTTTTCTGAAATCGACGAACAGCGAGCCACAGAGTAGGTTTTTGTTAATATTTTTAAGCCAGTTTTCATTCATCTTAATCAGAGCAGTGTGACAAGAATGAAACTTTCTAAACCCAGACTGATTACTATGGAAAAGCTTGAGCTTTTCTAGGTAGTTTGACATGCATTTGTTTATATGTATTTCTAGTGGATTGGAGAGGAAAGAAAGTATAGAAATTGGCCTGTAGTTATTAGCATCTTGGATGTTACCTTTTTTGTTTAGTGGTATAACCTTAGCATGCTTAAAATGTGTCGGGTAATAATGCTTGGCAATACAGAGGTTATAGACATAGGTTAAAACTTCGGAAATTATTGGAGCTGAAATCTTCTATACTTTATTAGAGATATCATCAAACGAAGTTGTTAAAGACGGTTTAAGAGATCTTCGGCTAACATATACTTCATGAACAGTGAGAAGCGGAATGATCAGCTCTGTCCTACCACGGTTAGCAGAATTACAAAAAATTTTAAGCTCCTCACTGATTGTGTAATCAGCATCTGTGTTGAGCGCTACAGATGATATAAAATGATTGTTAAAGTCATCAGCAGATATCTGGCAAAGTCCAGCTGTATTACATGTGCGTTTTTTTTCTAATTATTTGATTTATGGCAGTCCAGATAGATTTGGAATTAGGTTTGCCTGACAGCAGCTTATGAAAATACTCCTTCTTCGACCAACGCACGAGCAGTTTGACATAATTTCGCTGCCTACAAAAGTCCTCAGAAGTTCCATAACGTTTAAGCCAGTCTCTTTTATTAATTGCAGATTCGATATTGTTGTTAAACCAAGAAGGTTTGTATGTAGTCTTAACCATTTTAGAGATTTTAGGAATATGTTTGTCATATATAGTATAGAAAATACGCAGCCATTCAGAAATGGCTAGATCGGGACAATTATAATTGTATACATTGCAGAAGGGGGCAGCCAATAAATCCGAAAGAAAAAGATTTTCATTAAATTTTCTAAAAGAGCGATAATTTATAGTTATGTGTTGCCGCGAAGGTACGCATAATCTTTTTGTCGAAAAAGTACAACAAACAGGGAAGTGGTTACTAACACCACAATAGGGGACACAGACCTCTATTAGGTTGCAGTCAGGTGATGCATAGATGTGGTCAATTATTGTACTTGATTTATCATTAACCCTGGTAGCCGTGTGCACAAATTGTTTTAGATTCAGAGAATCAACAATATCTTGCCAATGTCCTTGAGGTTTTAATAAATTTATATTAAAATCTCCCAATATGATATATTCATTGGTAGTAGATAAAACGGTATCCATCATGGAGCAAAAACGATCATACCAATCCATGTTTTCGCAGGGATTTCTATAAAGGAAGCAAATTAAAATTGCCGGATGGTGTTTGATTTTTCCCAGTTCAATCCATATACATTCTATATTGTCCGTTGACAGCTCCTTCCTGTACTTGAAACGAATTGAGGAGTGGACATAGACACAAAGGCCAGTTTCTTTGTGTAAGGATGGGTCTCGGCATATTAGGTTATAATCAGAGACGGATATCTCAACATCATTTATAAAAGATTGTAATCGAGTTTCAGAGAAACCAAAGATATGGAAAGGATTGTTGGAATTGTTTAAAATTTTTAGAACTCCATGGTGTTTATTAAATATGTGTAAAATATTTAAATGGCCCAATTTTAGCCCACTTTGTGAGGGCCAGGATGATGAAAATAGACAATGCATAAAGATAATAAAATATCAATGAATAAGAG